AGAAGATACTTTCACTGTACCAGATGAGGATCTGATATTTTGAGCCTATATATACTCCAATTAATGCTGTTAATATCACAATAAGTTATCTTAATTACTTCTAAAAATGTTCTCTTCATTTTCCAGATGGTGCCCTGGTTACGATGGGAACTTGCCCACTCAGTTTTGCCTTCCATGCGATAATAGCAATCTGCTTATAAGATATTTTAAATCCTCCATTCTTATATTCATGTTCTGCTCTGGCCCTGTTTATTCACAACTGAATGCCTCTGATTATTTTATCTGTCATGTGCTCAGTCTGTGATGCTTTACATAGCAGAACTGGAATAAACTGGCTATGCTATATAAGATGATCAGTATATTTAAGACAATGATCATTTAGCTATCTTATTTCTATAGCAATATTTTAAAAATTAATTGTAGAGAAGCCAAGAAAGCTTCTCAGGGATTCTCACTTGGCTTTTCTTCTGAGCTAAGGAAAAACTGAAATAGATCAGAAGTTAAATATTCTTTTTCATGTTGTATGGACTTAATATTTTGGTAACTTGGTGCAGAGTCACAGCAACCACAATGACTTGTTTTGTGTGCTAAAATCTGGATGAGCAGAGATAGAGGCATTCTCAGATATGTAAGGCAGAGTTTGCTGAGCCTATTTCTCAGTCTTTGATTAGACTGCAGTAAGCAGTCTGATGTTTAATACCAGTGACAGACATGGATAAGTTTCCCTTGAGGATTGGAGAGGTGGCTATTATTCAGTAAATCCCAGAGAGACAAATATGCTTTACTGTAGACTTATACAGAGCTTAACAACAGCTCCCTTAGTATAAGGAAGGAGGTTGGCGGAAGCTGTGTGAGAGTGCTTCTGCTTTTTGAATTAGCAGCAGTAGAGGAACAAAAAGGCTTTTAAAGAACATAGGGGGTAGTGTTTTGTTTTTAAAGACTTAAAGTTGAGTACTTCAAAGTAGAAAAATAATCTTAAAAATCTTTGCCATTGGAATTTATTTTTTAATTGTTTTGATCGTCATATTCACAATTTTATAAGAAACATTTTGATGCCTGATTTTTATATTAAAACTCAAGAGGGATGGCCTCAATGCCAAAACATAGAAGTGGAACAAAACAACACAGTAACCTTTATTGCCTGTGCCAAAAGGACTTTCTGTGGTTTCTCTTTCCTTCATCCAGAAAAACTGCTTTAGGCAATGCTGTCTTCTGTGTTGTGGTTTACTAATCCCACCATAGGTGTGAGAGTTGGGAATGGTTTCTGCTCTCTTTCTCACTGAAAAATGCTAGCTGCTTGTAACCTGAAAGCTGTGCATTTAAACCATAGCTGAAGAAGACATCTGGGAGAAACCTCTGATGCTCAGGATGGCTCATCTGCAGCCCAGACAGCTTCTCAGAAAAGGTTCCCCTCTCACTGTGCAGGAGAGCAGAGCTTTCCTGGACCTTGTTTCTCAACAGATACACTTTGGTGATTGCACAGGGCTCATACATACAGCCTTCGAGCAAGGCCCAGATTTGCCTTCTGCAGCAATGCATTCTGTGCGTCAGGTTCCAGCATGAATTCAAATCCTCAAGCTGGCATCAGAGATGTCAGCAAATCAGCCTTGTTCTTAAATGAATGGGTTTTGCTTTTTGTGCTATTATAGCACTTCATATGTCTTCTCTACCTCTTTGGTTGTTACTTTTTAGGACTTATTTCACATTACTTCGTCATCAGAAGATTAGATTCTTCTGCTCTGGTTGTTGTTTTACATTCAGTGTGTTCCCACTGGGGCAGCTAATTGTGCTGCTCACATAGTTGGCTGCCATTGTACCAAGGAAGCTGCAACTTTCTCTTTTACCTTAAGGTGAAATTATTCTCTTGTATCGCTGCTGGTACTTCAATGACGGAGCCTGTATTTGGAACTGGTGTAATAGGAACATTAAATATTTTGTAGCAGTTTTGATCCCAATGATTGCTCTTTTTCACATATTAAACTAGTTCTTAGTTAACTTTGATTAGATGTAGTCTTTCTACAGGATGATTCATTTGTTTGTATTGTGATTGTCTCAGTCACAAGTCAAGGTGTTCTACTTCCAGGATTTTCACAAATGCAAAACAAACAGAATATATTGCCTGTAAAAAAATACCTTAGACTTGCTTTGATCTGTCCTACTTTTCACATAGAACTAATATGAAATGACTTTGAAATACAGTTCAATTGGTTTTGAAAGTGGATTTTCATTCTATCATTGCAGAGTTAGAGAATGCATAAAGTCTGTCTCCTGTGCCACTTAGTTATTCACTGTTGCAGCTGGAGGTAGGGAGGCCATATGCGATGCCCTGTCCACAGGTGACACAAAAGATTTCATTTGACTGAGGGCTGCCTCAAGCCGTCACAGGTGGTGTTCTTTCATTTACAATAGTGCTCTTTAAAATATAAATGACTGCATTTATAACATCAGCTCCTTCTCTTTCTTTGGAATACCCCAGCTAAAGTTACATCACACATAACAAATGGTCTCATTCCCTTGAGAATTAGTTTAATTACTGATATAGATGGATATCATGTCTGAGATATTAATTTAACCACGCTTTAATTAAGACGTCAGATGTGAAAGGCTGCAGAAAGACTTCCCACTTAAGAAGTGTTGAATGGGATGGTGGAAGGATAGAAGGCTCTGACACAGTGAGCTTTTTACTGTCTGCAGGAGTACTGGCTTTCCTTCTCTGTTTCATTACAACAAAATTTGCATCTGGAAAATACGCGCCATCGTTCATTCACTCATCATGTTTTCTAACATTAAAATGTTTTTAAAATCTAGAGTCTAAGTACCAAAGCAACATGTCTCTTACCTTTTGGAAGTGATGGCCACTCCTAGGCACCAGTGATTTCCATTAGAACTGTCAGCACTGTGTCCTTTTGACCAGTGGGCTTGAAGAATGGGGCTGTGACTGTCCTGTTTGCCTATGCCGCTGCAGTGGGGCACAAGGGAGGATGCAGAGTGAGTGTTCACCAGAGGGAACCAGATATTCCCATCTCTGAACACCTAGTTGTTTTTTCCTTATAGCTTACCATGAGTGTGGATGGATTCCTTTCAGCATTTAATTTGAAAGCCCTGTTTCTTACTAACTCAGAAATCAAGGAAATGGACTTGGAAAGCATTCAGGAAGAAAGAAGTAAAAAATGGGGTAGGCAGAAGGAAGGAGTGTCTCATAACAAGATTACAGAAACTAGACAGTAAGAATGACTTGTAAGAGGGGAGCCAGGACATCATCAAATAAGCTTATTTTGCTTTACCCTGAAAGCTGGAGCAGCCTTAAAGAGGTGGCTATGGATAGGAACAGACACTCACTGGCAACCAATTTAAGGATTTCTCAAATTAACCTGGTTCAGAACGGCTAAGTGACCGGGTCAAGCAGTACCATCACTCTCCAAATCTCAATGAAGAGGTCAGATGACAATTTTTATTTACATCCTTTTCATCATTTATTGTCTGTGTGAATTGTTTATTCAGTAAGACGTACTTCTGATGCAATCTACAGAAAGTTTCTTTTGAGAAACTTTTTTCTTCTTTCATGTATTTTCTGCAGCTGTTTTCTGTTTTCTGTGATTAGTCGCCATTTCCCTTTTTGCTTTTAAAGTAGAGTAACAGTTCAGCTATGCCACTGCCTTCCTCTGCATCCCTGGAGGAAAACTGGTGGAGTACTGGAAAAAAACAGAGTTAAATATTAACATGAACTACTAAATGTTCTCACTGCAAAAAGTCAGGAACACTTCCAAGCGCTGAAAGCAGACTTTCTTTTCCTGTAGTTAAATTTTGCTGCTTAACTTCCAAAACTACAGCTTGCTCGGTCATTATTTTAACATGGTTAAACATTAAAAATCAGGCTGCTTCTGCTTCCCGGGTGGTAGACATAAGAAAGAAATCTCATGCAGACACTTAACTCTGAGACATATAGTTTTTTTCTAAGTAAAGAGTTGACTTTTTTTCCCCCTTGTGGTTAGAGGTACAAGTTCCATAGTTTGCACTTTTAGTCAGAAAGGCAGTGTTAATAAACACTGAGATTTGGTATCAATGCTGTAGTGACTCCTTAAGGTGTAATCTGAACACATATAGGCATTGCCTTTCTTATTAGCTGAGGACTTCTGACAGATCTCAGAAATACCAGCCTCTCAACAGGTCTCTTGCTTGTCTAGCTTAAATCTGCTTTCTTTTTCTTTTATTTTCTTCCCTTTTTTTTTTTTTTTTTTTTTTTTTTAAATACTGGCAACAGCAAGATTTTATATTAGATAATCATTTTGGACTTGCACTGGAATATTTTGTTTGCAGAGTTTCTAACTATTAATGGCAAAGTCTGCTGTGGGAGTGCATGGGCTAGACAGAATCCATTGTGCTTTCAGCAAGGCTTTTTATTTGTTTTTAATCTAATTCAGGAAATGCAGTTCTGTAAAACTAGTAATTATTTCCCTCAGTAATTCATATTTTGCTGAAAAATCAATCCTTCACATGAGAAGCTGGGAGACTACCATATGTTACCCATTGTGTGCTTCTCATAATCTCTCCTAACTCTTCAATGTAAGTAAGCAAAATGATTTTAACTTGACAAAACCATGGGTGCTCCCTAGGGTAGGGGCTGTAATCCTGCTCTACGTTAACTGATGTATCAGGAGCAGTAGTTTCCATGGCCCTGAAAGTGGAAGGGCTGCAGCGGTTAATAAAATACTCCTGGAATGGTGTTGTCAAACCTTTTGTCTGTATCTGGGAAAACGATGTGTGGCAATGTGGAGTTAATCCCTCAGAAATAAAATGATGGGCTTTGTTTTAATTCTGATTGCTTGCACAGTAGCATCATGAAGTGAGAGAGGTCCTGACATTTGTATGAGGCACGTGCTTCTGCCCACGAACCGCCAGTGAGATAAGTCAATAAAACAAGCCATGCAAGGCAGAGATTGCTTAGAGGTGGTGGAGACCTATTAGGCTATCTCGCCCTCCTGCATGCCAGAAAGGAATTGTTTCATTTGGATTTGCGTTAAAGGACAGAAGAACAGCTGAGTAAAGCACAGGATAACATTGCTGTGTGATGGGGTGGAAGCTCAGCTGTACTTCAGTTCTTATGTTTGCATCTGCTTTTGCACCGAATAGCAGCAATAGCCAACCAGTTTTTCTTTCTAGGCTGTTGGATGTAAGTATAACAGACTGAACAGGAGCTATTCTGATGGCGCAGATGTGCAATTTTGCTCTATAATTTTTTGTGGGTTTTTTTTTCCTCATCAAAGGAGAGCAAGAAGAAAAGACAAAAATCAGTGAGTATGTCTTTGTGTACACGTGTGTTTGACAGACATCTGCCCATGTTACACCAGTAGCAAGAAGGCAGTGGCTACTCTGCTTGACCACAGGGAGGGAATGTTACAGAGCCAATGCACTGCAAAGAGAAGAAAAGCCTCACTGCATTGTGGCTGTGTGCAGCACACCGTTAGCTTGGAGCAAGCGACCATTTCTTATTACAGCAGTGTCTCGCATTCATGCAAGGCTGCGATGCAAAGTGATTCAACTCACTGGGAGCTGCTGCATGCAGTTCTGGCACTGAGAGAGGAGGTCTCTGTGGTCAAAAAGGAAGACAAGCGTATTGGTAGTGGTCCTTTAAGCAGCTTCATCTGGTGACTGGACGGGGAATTGCAGGCACATTTGTTTCATTGTGTTAATTTCTTGCGTTATTCCCCTTTTGTCTGTTATTGTTTCTTTACCAGTATTTGTGTTTCAATAGGAAAAGAATTCTGTGGTGAACTATGTGCATGTCCTACTTCTGTTCAGGCCTGACATGTTTATATATACAAAGAATTATGGACGAATTACAGAAGACCAAAGAAGCTCAGAAATTCTTTGGAAAAGCTTGTCAAATTTTTAATTAATGGGCATGTAGCAGAGGGAGTGAAATCTATTGCTTAATACCATAATAGGCAGTGCAGTGCCTTTGCCTCTTTCTGCCATCCTTAACAGACAGATTTATTTTTGGTAATGAGACATTTATCTCCTTTGCATCTATTAAAAGCCAATTCAGTGTAAAAAAAAAAATCAGTTGGAAACAACATGAAAAAATGCAGTGGTGAAATGTGCTTGGATTTTCTGTACGCTTTTCTGAGCTCTGTCAAGTCTTTTTTCTCTTTAGCTTAGTTTATTTTTGTTTATTTTTGCTTTGCTGCAGTTTGCGTTTCCAAATAATTAGGTGTTATCTTGATAGCACCAAATAACGATGTGAATATTTAGATTGTGTAAAGAGTCTTAATGGAATTACTTGCAGGCCAATAATTAATATACTGTCAGTGTAAATAAGTGGTTTTGAACTTTTTTTTCTGTATGTGGACTCTAAGTTTGTTTTGTTAGATCTTGATCCCCTCTGTACATGACTTAACCCTACTGCCAACAGGCTTGCTTTTATTCGTGGCCATCTTTGCACAAAAAAACCCCACTGATAAATATCAGTGGTAAGTGGCAGCCTGGATCAGCTCTCCTGGTGCCATGGAGAAGGAGTCCACACAGAAATAACTGCAGAAAAAAGTGTTCATTTGTTTAAGAAATAAGTAAGTATGAGTTGTGCATGCATTTCTCACTCTGATTTGAGGCAATTTAATTAGGAAGGTGTTTTCACGCTTGTGGACTGGATCATTAATTTAATTCCTAAGCAGGTCAGCAAGCAGACAGCTTTTCTTAATCTGTCCATAGAGGAGCCTGTGTGTACTCTAGCTGAACACAATGGATTTTTGTAGGAATTTGTGTGAAATCTTGTGGGGTTTATTAGATACCCCTTAATAGATTTTCAAGCTTCTGCTGCATTTTGCGGATAGGATGTAATTTTCCTAGTGAGATCTGTAGTGCTTGACAACTGATGAAAAACCAACAGCTTTCTTTTAGGTTTGCAAATAAGCCTTCATTAAACAAGCTGTTTGGTGCCTCTGCATCTTCATTTTGTTTGCTGTAGTGAAGAGGAAATGGCCAGGATATCAGGTTGAGTGACACAGAAACTTATTCCAGGAAGTTTATTTTCAGAAAGCGTTGAGCATTCAAACTTTGAAAGCCCTTTAAAGTATTTGTGTTTCACACCAGACTTTCAGTGTTGGCTGATAGGCATCTCATAAAGGTGACTTAAGACTAAGTGGATTCATGTACAAAATGCTTTGACTTTTTAGCTGATAAAGTGCTATTTTTAAGTAAGTATTATAAGTACTACAACCCATCTTGTAACAGATGCTCAGATAACAAACATTAAAAGGTTCCTATTCCAGATGAGTTATTTCTTCCAACTTCATGGGTGAAACATCTTTTCCGTTGCATCCTACTTAGAAGGGATTCTCTTTTATACAGTACAAATCCTACAATTGTCCTTACCTACCCATTTCCTTCCACACTTCTGTTCTTGCATAAAGGTTATTCTCCTCATTTGGCTACTTCTGCAGGCTCTATTTCTATGTACTATAAACAGTGCTACCCTTTCTTCCCAGTATCCTCCTACACATGCTTTTGAAGAGCTCTGGTTGCTAGGATTACAGTACTAGAAGTGGAGGGAAAGTGTCCCTTCGTCATCAGCTTCCTCTTCTGTTCCTCATTGCATTACCACAGTCATTTTTTCCAAAGACATGTTTTGTTGTAAGACCATTCGGCAGCAGTACTGTTGCTGCTGCTGCAATCCTCAGTGCTCTTCCTGGCTTTTTGTTTGAGATGCTTGGAAAGTCAGTGACTAAGCTGGAGAAAATGACTTGATTTCATTCTGTGCTGTGAGTTGAACCTTCATTATCTTGCCTGGGGACTGCTTTCCATTGTGATTAAAAGGGACAAGCACTCCAAAATGGCAGAGGCTGTGACACTGTTTTCTATTCCCTCTCTTTTCTCCCTGCTCCCCCACACTGCAGTTTTATTAATGCTGGGTCTGTAATGCATCATGTACAGCACAGAGATGGGCATGTTTTTCCTTTACAAGAAAGGAAAAATGGCAGCCTTCCTATTACTATAAATGGCACAGTAACTTGCCTGATTTTTACAAGAATTGACTGATGTTAGACTCTTGAGGGTGGAAGGATGGATGTACGTGCTCTTTGCTTGCTAGCACGGGCTTCTATACAATATGGGCACTGTTTGTTTGTTTGTTTTCAATGCACGGCATGTTTGTCAGCATACTTGAGCAACAGCGTTCAGCTCCAGAAAGTTGTAGTACTTATTCCAGAGATCTCACCTTAGCCTTTTCCTGAAAGGGATAATAAATCCAGTCATTCCAGAATCTGTCTAAAACCTTAAGTTGGAAATGCTTTCACGGTGCTCAGAACAGTCTGGGATAGTACCAAGCTTCCTAGAGGCTACCGGACCTGTTTCACAAGGCAGGAGCTCCTATTGGAAGAACCTGAGCCTCCATGGCTCTTAATAGTTTGCCTGAGATGCTCAGGAGTGATCACTTCAATATTTATGCAACAATCTAATGATTTCTCTTGTAACGGACCAGCATGCATTTATCATGAAGACCAAAGTTTTGAACAGCCTAGTACTCATCCCTGCATCCTGACTTGTTCATGTTTCATATGCTTAGCGGAGGTGACAAGATGGAGGTTGATCATAATTTGAGTAAAAGGCTCAAAGTTCGTGGTCAAAAGTAGTTAAGCACTGCGAAGGTTGGTTTGAGAGGAGGCGGTAAAGTAGAGTAGTTATGAATAAGTAAGATAAGTGTTTATGTGTGAGGTGCAGGAAAAGTTTCCCAGATTATTCATTGTACCTCCAGCAACTTCCAGTTTCACAACATCTTTATTTTTGATACCCAAAATGTGTACATTTGCTACTCATACCTGAAGATCCAAATACTTCCACACTTATTAGTTTTATTCCATCTTCCTCAAGCTCTCTGAAAGCTGCATGGCTCTCACATAAGCAAATTAGACTGCTGTGCTTGCCAGGAGGGAAATGTGTTCATATTTGCCCTCACCAGACAATTTTGCGGGGAACGGGCAACATCCTGGGTATGGTTTCTTCAAGCTGTAAATCAGCAGTTTAAAGGCGGAATTGAATTTTGCTGTTATTGCCCTTCTAGCTGCTAGGAATGTAGTTGCAATATGTGCCTGATTCTCAAGGATATCCGTAGGAAGCATGTGTTAGTGTTTTAATTTAATTGAGCTCTCAAAGATGTTCTCCTCCATGGCAAACCAATGGAAACAACTCCAAATTAATGTTAGATAAGAGGGGTTCATGTTGGAGTTACTTATCTAATGGCAACCATAACTGTTACTGCTCTTCAGAATAATGTGTGCTTCAGCATACTTGGGCATTTTGCTGTCTTGAGGCACATGGAAATTTCATTTTCCTTAAGTAATGTTCTTGGAATCAGGGTATCCATATCTCACTTCACTTTCTCTGTTTTCAAGCTCTGCATTTTAGCCAAAAGCATCCAGGAGTTTTTACTGAAAATAGGTCTGACTTTTTCGTGTTAGATTTCTATTCCCAGACTTTTATTTGTGAAACGTGTCTGGGGATAGTGCGCATTTGAGACAACAAGCTGTTGTGCAGGTGAACAATCCAAGTCTGACACGTTACAAGCAACCTGCACTCAGTATTTTCTCTGATAAATTAATATAGAAAAAAGTGTTGTATCTCTGTGTTTTCCATACCATTAGAGCATGAGTAATACAAACTATGACACAAATGGGCTTGGTTGGTCCCATAACTGAAAGATAGGCATTGGATGGGGGTTTGATCCAGAGTAAGTTCAAGATAGAAAGGAGGGATACAGGTGTGCTTTTTTTTCATTTATTGAGAGTTTTTCTTTAGGGATCTTAGCTTGCCACAGCACCCAAATAGGGTAGATTAGCATTACTTTCCTCCCCATGGATAGTAAGTGAGAAATTAAAAGCTGAATGCTACTGAAAGACAAACAGTCAAGCTAGGCATACAGGCAAAAATGTGTCTGTCGGTGGAAGAGGCTTTAGAGTATAATGGTATTATGGTATTAAATTGTGTTTGATAGGTATATCTGACAGCGTTATGGCATGGTTATGGATTACACTATCCAATGTGGTTGGCTTGATGTCTCAAATCATGAGAAGGATAAGCTTCAGAAACTGAGGAGATGGGAAAAGGGGTGAGGTGTGTGTAGATCATTAGTCCTTGCTTCTGAGTTAATGTAAGTGGCGAGGTGAATTGATTCCTAGCAGGGAAGAAGAGACAGGAAAGTTGATGGGGATATTACTTGTTCCCTGAAAATGCACTGTGGGAGGGGGAAAACTCCTCACTGACTGGCAAGAACATACAAACAAGTGCACAAATCCTGGAACTGAGAAAGGAGCAGCAGGACAGGAGATTGGTGGCACACCATTTGTCTGTTGTATCTGTTGTAGTTTTCATGGAAACAAATAGGAGGCATTACTTTTGGAGTGACTGTGCACGTGCTGCAGGGGAAGAGATGGTGTCTTTTCTCAATCCTACTGGGCTACCATTTGCAAAGCAAAGAAGGAGGCAGGGAGCACCTTCTCAGTTTCAAGAAATGCCTGCTTCTTTATTACAAACTGACAGCTTTTCAGTGGGAGTTTACAGAAGTGATAAATATTCCCTTATCATGATCCAAACACAAAATCCTCCTCACCCTGAGGTTCTGTGGTAGGTGACAGCTGAGAGCATAGGCCCTGCACTTATCATCCACACTGAACTTGGAGAGCAGCAGTTGAAGTCTGATGGCTGCTCACATTTCTGATCTCTTGTCCTTGGTGATGGCAGCAGAGAATGAACCTCCCTTTTGCTATCACCTGCTCTTGAAAATGTGTAGAGAAATGCCTTGTGTGGGTGGAGTAATGGGCAGGTGAGTTCCCACTAATCGGAAAATCCTATACTTAAGCTTGAGCAGAAGTCTGGAAAACAAATCTTGTACGGGTTTGAGATGGCACTGAAATCTGGATAGGTTTTGCAGATCTGCCTTTTTGGGGAACTTTTCTCCCAGTAGATTCTTAGGGAGACCTGCAGGAAGAGATGGGCAAAGGCAAGAGAGTGTGCTTTCCTGGGACACTGCAGGATGGAAAAGCAGCGCTATAATTCTCTCTCTCAGGAGAGAGCTGGCTCTGTGGCGCACCCACTATGTCCTGACACGTACTTATCCACAAACTGTGTCCTCTGCCAGTAGGAAAACACCTGACTTAATAGAAATGGCTATAGCTACAAAGCAGACTTCTCTGTTCTGAGAAATTTTGTCCTACTCCTGTCTCACAGGTAACTGTGTTAAATGCAACGTAAGTAGGAGTAGTGTTAGAATATTAATCAGGCTGTGATTTATGTCATGAGCTGGGAAAATTCAACTATTTACCAACTTTCATGGCGTTTTCAGGATGGTTAGAACTGCTGAAAGAATTTAAAGATGGTGAATAGAAGTTATCCTGTGTTTGGCTGCATATTTGGCACTATTTTAACATGCTATGGAATCCGGTACCTTCTTGTTACCTTGCAAGCCTGTCTCTAATATATTAGATTAAAACATATTCCTGTCTCCAAATGCTAACAGCAGTACATTCAGTTCTCTGTATTTCAGCAACTAAAGTGGGTGTTGCAGGAAGTTTGGCACTGTTTTTTTCTTTTTTTTAACAGAATAATAAACACAGATGATGATGCTTTGGCTTTTATATAGATATGGCGGCTCTTTACTCATAAAAGCTGATTCATAGTCAAATGGTGATTTTTGGCTTTTAAAAAATAACTACTGGAGTAGATAGGCTAGATATAATTGTAAGAATTTCTCACAGAACCCAGACTGGTGATTTATTCTCTTTCTATCTCTCTTTTTTTTTCTTTTTTTTCTTTTTTTTTTCTTAGAGACCATTTTAGAGTTCATTTTTCTAACAGAAATTCTATTTTTTCTATTGTTATATATAGAAATTATATTCTATAACACTTGCTGCCTTTCTCTTCTCCAGGAGGAGGCCAGAGCATAGCTGTGGACCTGTGGCTTCTCTTTCTGTGAGCTCTGACAAAGGTATGTGCACTGTTACACTCCTTAATATCCATCTCAAATGCAGTATGGAAACTTTCAAAAATGTGACTTGCGAAGCTATTGGTGGAAGAAAAATATTTGCTTGATATTTAATGCAATATTTTAGACCAGACAAGTCTTCTCCACAGAGTTGCGCTAAATTAAAACTAAGCTTGAAAAATCATGTTAATGCATACAGCAATGACCATGCTGCTTTTGTGCCATCTTATGTGTGTGCTATTCAACACCGGGCTTCATGGTAATGGCAAAATACTTTGTTTCAGAGGCTCCAGGTCAAGAACAAAGTTACTTAATGGCAGGTGAACACTGGCTACAAAATCATGGCCAATGTCTGTTGATTAATATGAATCGCTCGTGCTCTGACTCAGTTATCACTGCTGAGCAAGTGTGTGACGTAGTGGAAGTGTTGCATCCTTCACTTGCTGAGTCTGAGAATCTTCTTAGATCTCAGGAAGGAGGTCTTATTTTCTAAGGATCGAATCAAGGTTGTGCCACTCCTCTTCAGCAGCTTGGTACCTGAATCAGTTTTACCAGGAGAATTCCCTCAGATGGAGAAAGTGCCTTCAGCAGATGTGTATGATTTTAACCTGGAGATAGGATAGCAAAGTAAATAAGAACCTGATGTGCAGAGTTTCAAAGCTGTCCCTGCTGTCTAGTTTGCTGTATAACTTGGAAGAATTGAAATAGCTTTTGTGGTGATAATTGTTAGCATATGCTTTCAGCATTAAGAATAAAGAATAGCTTTTTTTCTGTAAATGTTACTGTGAAATAATATAACTTTATATTTTCACAGTTTCTTGAACTAATGCAAGTAACTATGGATTTTGGTGATTAGTTTCTATATAACTTTATAGGATGCTGCAAAATCCCTGGGTGAAATACTGTGTTTTCTAACAGACTCTTCATGAGATTTCTTCTCGTTGGCTTTGTCTGCGTGGCAGTGTCTGCCTGGTGGCAGAGAAAGCAAAGTATGATGGGGAACAGTGGTACTGATTTTTTTTTTTATTTTTTTTTTTTAATTGTTATTTCTCCATTTTGTATTTTTTCTCTTTGGAGTAAAGAGCAGGAATTGGTTCCTTTGAATCGTCGAACTGCATGAGCTTTTACTGCCGCATTTTATGCTTCCTTCTGTATTTTCTAGCTCCCCAGCCCCAATCATTTGTAGCTGGAGCTGAGGGTGTCCCAGTTCCTCAGTGAGTCGTGAGTAGGGAGGACGTTCATTCTTTTTTTCAGCATCCCAACAACATTTTCTAGTTCTGTATTTGGAATGCCAGATATTCCCTGACCCTGTGTGAACTTACAAATGGTTTTCTCCTTCTACAGACCCCTCTTTTCAGTGTAAGAGAGAGAGTTGAGAATGATTCAGAACTAATTTACACAAAGTTTTCCCAAGTAATTCTCAGCCACCCATGGGTTTTCCTGGAGAAGCGATATACAATAGGCTTTTGTTTCCAAATGGATTTATTTATTATTTTTGAATCTAAATGCCTTGCTTGACCCTGATTTTAAAGGGCTTTTTTGTTCTGAGGCTCAGCAGTTCATCCTTGGAATCTTTTGAAGATGGACTTTCCTGTGAATACACAAGGTATCATAAATCTATTCAGTACTAGAACTAATGCAAATTATTCTAGTTATATCTGAGTTAGAGTCTGTTAAATTTTTAAAGGAACTAGAGACAAAACAAAATGGTCATGAAAGAAGTTGTTTTAGTTCCTTCAGAAAGATGTTTTTGTGAATTAGGTATGGCTTTCTTGCCAAAAACAGTGAGGTGGAGGGCCATATTCTCAATAACAGGTTTGCTGTTTTTTCAGACCCTGAGCTCTAAATGAGCTTAGTTGTTAATTATTCATTGTGGCTATTGCTTGGGTACTTGAAACCATGTTCTTTAGAGGCAAAATAAAGTAGCTGACAGATCAGATCCCTATCTTCTCCAAATTTTTTTAAGCATGAAGGCACTATACCATTGGTGAAAAAAGAGTTATTTTAATTTGAAAATAATGCTAGTCAAATAAGGAGGACTTCACTGAGAGTTTTCTTAAAAGTGTTGTTTTTTTCTTTGCTATGCAGTATAGGAGAGTGGGTTTCAACTTGGTCTGCTTGAAGATCCTCCCTGTTTTAGTTTGACTGTGGGAGCTGTGATATTTGATGAGCTGAGAAGTTAATGAAAATTGTAGATTTATTGAGATATGTCAATCTTTCTGTGTGGAGGTGTGTTTCTGATACCAGTTAGTATACTTAGGGAGCTGCAGCCTACTTACACCTGTTGAATGCTTCCAACTGAATGGGGCTTTCTGTTAAAAATTCATCTTCCAATCATACTGGGGAGTACTTTCCCAAGTGTTTCAATTCTGATCTGTTCAAAAGTCTTTGTCCCTAGCTCATCTTCACTAAGTAGCGTTGCCCCTCTCTGCACCTCTCTTTGCAACTGTAATGCTTCTGTCTGTATATATGGTGGACACCTTTCTTCTTGAAGAGATATTGGCACTAAAATCCAAGTTCTGAAAATTGTGATGATTACAGATAAGTACACTTTGACTAGTACTGAAATCTTATCATGCACAATCCTGGAAGTGAGAGAAAAAGATTTTACTGCCATGCTGGTATGTCTGAGTTCCCTGCAATATGTTTCTTCCAATGCTTGGTCCAATCTACTTTTAAATGACTGAAGTGGTGGAGTTTTTTTCATGCCACTTAAAAAGCTTTATTAAGTCCGTGAGAATTGACTGTAATAGGAGTCTTTCCTAATAGATGGTTTTTGCTTAATTTTTGACTGACTTCTCATTTCTTTTCTAATGCATACTGACAAATCTCAAAATCTTAAATCATCACTTAGTCAAATCTCTTTCAAGGATAAAGTATCAACAGTGTTATTAGTGAGACTTTATCAAAATTCATAGAAAAGGGATTCTGACCCTAGTATGTAGTGTTGGATGTAAATGGCTGGGCAGGAGCCCCACTTCCCTCCATGTTCTACAGCCCCTTCAGATATGTAACAGAATTGATTCTTAATATATTCCTACATCAACAGTGCACAAATTGTTGAGATTAAAGGATGAGACTTCTCATCATCCAACTGCACCATCAGGAACAACCTGATAAGGAGATAACATGGATGAAACAAAACCCAAAGATTTCTATTTCTACCAGTTGTGGAAACTTATGTAGTTGTTCGTCTTCATAAGTGTTAACCTGAGGCTAGGTGACATAAAGACCTGAGGCTCCTTTTGTCCCATTGCATTTTCTCCATTAGCATCACCGTATTTTATTCATTGGCCCCAAGGCTGAGACATTGTACATTCCCTATTTGCTTGAGAATTCGTTGCTGTGTGGCATCAGTTATGAATTGTCTGGCTCCTGTTTGATCACTGAAGTAAAAACTGCATAAAAAATCTGCTACTGGAATTTCTTTTTAAGAATTAATTCTAACACAGGTTATGGTACTCAAAATCAGAGAAAAATAGTGCCAGGAATGGAGTAAGGAATGGATGGGACCATTCTTCAGCCAACACTGAAGTGAAAAAAAAGATTTGAAATGCTTGTCTACAATTCTGTTAATATGGGGGTCTAGAGATAGATGACGTAAAGGAGGTAAGACTCAGTGGTAGAGCTGAGCTCCTAAACTCTATGCTAATTCAAAAGTAGAAAGAGTAGATATGGCCATTTCCAGTGCTACGGTGCTTATTTGTTAGCATCTTCAACTATTGCATCTTCAACTATCAACAATGTTGCATTGCAACTATTGCACCTTCAACTATATATCAACTATCTTATCATATAACTCTGAGACTGCAGTGTCACCAGGTAGCTGCTGTTTGCTTTTTTTTTTATTTTAATTCCAGAAGCTTCTGACAGTCAGCAAGGATTGTGTCCAAAAAGTCATACTGAGTAGTAGCGCAGAGCTTGTTCCAGCAAATGCATTATTAGCTATTAAACATTTATACAGCAGTATAAAGTTAGACCAAGATTCACAAACATAAATAAGACCTGTTCTATACACTGCAGAGCTTCCAGTCTAAATCATGCCTACGTGACATACAGCACAGCTGTTTGTAGGAGGAAGGATGAGAACTGTTTGAAGGAAAAGTGATTTCTGAGAAGATGGTGACTGGAGAAGGATTAGCAGGTCCAGGAACTAACAAATCAAAAGGTGCAAACTGAAATGAAAATAGGAATCAAAGCAATATAGCTAGTTTAGGAAGTAGTAAGGAGCAGAAAAGAAGTTGAGAAGTTGTTAGTTATGAGATAAATTTAATATGACATGGATTGGAGAATGCTCTCTTTTTGCCACTTCTTGAATATTCAAGCAGAGATTCCTTCAGTGTTTGAAGTATCTTGCAGATTTTGAGGATTACACACTGTGGATGGTTTTCTACCAAATTTCTCTGCATGCTACCAGAATGGATTAAAGGCTATGGGAGTATCTGTCTTGAAAAGCAATTAATATAATTTCTTTGATCTGCCCTGGTCAAGATAAAACTGCATTCCTTCAATACCTATTGATCTTCTGACCTCTGCCACTTTTTCCGCACTTCTAAACAACAGTTCCACCTGGGAAGATCCTTCTATTGACAGGGAACTTCCAGTACTAGCTTTATTCTCTCTAGATTCATTCTATTTTTCTCTTTCAGCCTTCCCCCTTCCCCCTCTCCCCCCATTAGAGAAATATCAAGGAACTGAAAAACAAAGGATTGCACTGATGTTTATATCTGTTGTCTGGAGTCTCCCCTACAAGGGAGCTACAGAAAACACTTCATGATGAATTTAGTGAACAGTATGGGAAGAGATTATTATCTGGGACTGGCTCTATGCAGAATTATATAGGGCACGAGGTCCTCTCTGTTCTGGAAAACCAAGCTGACTCCACTGTGACACTGCTAGGAGGAAGAATACATACAAGAGAGGCATGGTCGGTGCAAGGTCCTAGTGGTTCACACGAGCAACTTCATGGCACTACTATGAAATTATTAAGGTTTCTGCCAGTT